CTGTAATTGCAAACAAAGGTTTCTGTACCAAATATTTGTATCAAATACTTATGTCATGCAATAAAATGCACATTAGTTACTTAAAAATCATACAATGTGATTTTCTGGATTTTTGTTTTAGATTCCGTCTCTCACAGTTGAGGGGTACCTATGATAAAAATTACAGACCTCTACATGCTTTGTAAGTAGGAAAACCTGCAAAATCGGCAGTGTATCAAATACTTGTTCTCCCCACTGTATACAGTACCAGTCAAAAGTTTGGACACACCTACTCATTCAAGGGTTTTTCTTTATTTTTACTATTTTCTACATTGTAGAATAATAGTGAAGACATCAACACTATGAAATAACACATTTGGAATCATGTAGTAGCCAAAAAAGTGTTAAACAAATCAAAATATATTTTATATTTGAGATTCTTTAAATAGCCACCCTTTGCCTTGATGACAGCTTTGCACACTCTTGGCATTCCTTCAACCAGCTTAACCTGGAATGCTTTTCCAACAGTCTTGAAGGACTTCCCACATATGCTGAGCACTTGTTGGCTGCTTTTCCTTCACTCTGCGGTCCAAAACTTTTGACTGGTAGTGTATATACACTACCATTCAAAAGTTTGGGGTCACGTCAACAGTGAAGAGGCAACTCCGGGATGCTGACCTTCTAGGCAGAGTTGCAAAGAAAAAGTCCAGTGTCTGTGTTCTTTTGCTCATCTATTTAATGAAGCTGCCAGTTGAGGACTTGTGAGGCATCTGTTTCTCAAACTAGACACGCTAATGTATTTGTCCTCTTGCTCAGTTGTGCACCGGGGCCTCCCACTCCTCTTTCTATTCTGGTTAGAGACAGTTTGCGCTGTTCTGTGAAGGGAGTAGTACACAGCGTTGTACGAGATCTTCAGTTTCTTGGCAATTTCTCGCATGGAATAGCCTTCATTTCTCAGAACAAGAATAGACTTCAGAAGAAAGTTATTTGTTTCTGGCCATTTTGAGCCTGTAATCGAACCCAGAATTGCTGATGCTCCAGATACTCAACTAGTCTCAAGAAGGCCAGTTTTATTGCTTCTTTAATCAGCACAACAGTTTTCAGCTGTGCTAACATAATTGCAAAAGGGTTTTCTAATGATCAATTAGCCTTTTAAAATGATAAACTTGGATTAGCAAACACAACGTGCCATTGGAACACAGGACTGATGGTTGCTGATAATGGGCCTCTGTACGCCTATGTAGATGTTCCATTAAATATCAGCCGTTTCCAGCTACAATAGCCATTTACAACATTAACAATGTCTACACTGTATTTCTGATCAATTTGATGTTATTTTAAATGGACAAAAAAATGCTTTTCTTTCGAAAACAAGGACATTTCTAAGTGACCCCAAACTTTTGAATTGTAGTGTATTATTCAACTGTGCTGTGATGTTTCACAACGGCTCTGAACCTTTATATTCTCATAGTTTCTACAGATTGTAAATAAATAAAAAATAATGTTTTGCTGAGAACATTATTATATTACTGATCGATTGACTATGACTTTTCAAATCACCCAGCAGTGCTTCTGACCTTGACTTAATTCCCTAATAATTCCACCACCTTTACGAGCGATGAATCGATGAACAAGGTCGAGCAACCTGTCTGTTCCAAGTGGAACAACATCTACTTTATTTTTCAGATATAAATACCACCACTCTCCATGCACTGTAATTTACAAATTGATAAGAGCTATTGTTAAGAGCTAGGTCGGCTAAATGAGTAAGCCGTTTGGATAAGGGGATTGTAAATATTAATTACAATTGTTTTAGATCTACTGTATTTTACCTTATGATTGCTGGAGACAATTGTGAAATGAGTCATATGGCAGCAAACTGAAGCATATCAATATATCAACTTTCCCACAGTGACGTTTATGAAATATTTATTCCATTATGCAGAAAATAAATTGTATGGCCTTTTAACTTCAAGAGATGAAACTTGGAGACCCAAGCTATAGGCTTCTGTAGCCATGCGCAAATGATAGTATAGCGCCAAACCTACCGAGTTGATTTATGATTTCTACGTTTTAACTATATGCCCAGACTTTTCACTGTGTTTGTTACAATTTGTATTGTTAAATATTAGCCAGTTATACTCACATACATTTATAACTGTAGTGTTAGTTTCCTTACATTTTGCATCATTCCATTCCATTGTTAGTTTACCTTTCTTTCCTCTGTCGTGTGGTTGTTCCTGAGGATCGATAGCAATAGTGAATCATGTTAGGCTAACGTATTACAACTTGTGCAATAATTCGGGACATGTAGCCTATTTGAATCATTATGGAACGCAGACCACACGTAGCAGTTTAAACCTGGAGCCTGGTGCAAGGTTCACAACGACTGGACCGTTGTCATCACATTTCCTTGATTAGTGAGGATTATTAGGGTAGATTTATAAGACTACTGTTCAACCCCTATTGTATACTTTTCTCACCTTCCAATATTTAATGGAACAATTAAATATGGCAACTTTCAGGATGAATCAAACCACTGTATTTTTGATTCACCAATATATTTAGTGCGTAAAGGCTCCCCAAACCTGTTTTTTTATTATTATTCATAAATACTTTCCTAACCCTAAATAATATACAAGATCAGAGTATTTTTAAATCTACCAATTGGTGCTGAAAAGGAGACATATGCGTGTATTTACTTTCTTTCATTGATCCCTAATATTCTGAACCGTTCTCTCCATATATTCTAGTGAGTCTGTAGAGAAAACTCAAATTAAAAGGTACACCAAATTTAAAGTATATGGCTTTAGATAAATGTACTGAAAACCCTATTGAATGAAAACTCCACAAGGAATTATGTTGGCCAGCAAGTGGGAGGATTTTCAGAGGTTGAATAAAATGTATTCAGGGCGTGCAAGGGAACCACGGCTGCAAAGCCCGTTACGCACCTGCATAAGGTAAGTCTGAATACCAACTACTGAAAAGTGTGTAGGAAAGGTGTGCGTAGGAAAGGCATACATTTCCCAAGTCTGAATCGGGCCCTAAGAGCACAGCTCACATGGCAAGAGAACAATTTGGAATGTGCTCACTCAATATCATCAAAACATGTATGACACACCGGATGATGAATTGAAGAAAAATGTGGAATGCAATTTTTTATCCACAATAGATCAACTTTTGTTAACAGTTGTTCTCTACACCTTGGTCTTGTAAGATAAGCTGGTATGATGTGGTGGGGAAAAGAGCGGAACCTGAGGCAGTTCAAAGTCCAAGTTAGATAGACACAATGACACATGCAACTGAATATCTCCTCGTTTGTATTATGATATAATAAAGAGAGTTGTTGTGAGAAAAGCTGTGTTTAATTTGAAATTCAAATAAATTCCAGTATGGTAATAAGCAGATATTACAGGCAGATACAAGATATATGTTAAGTTAACAATTAAAGTCCACTTGTGCGTTATCCTGTCCTTGCTCTCTGATCTGAAGCATACATTATCTGATTGTATCATCTGGAGCCTTCATTTACATAATTACAAATCAGGTATAAAATGTAGACTTTTACAAAAGTTGCATATCAAATATACTCAACACATGTCCTCCCAAGGAAACCATCCTTCATTTAGGGTAATTTCCAAAACAAGTGCTCGTTTTGGTAAACAAAGTGATACAGAAAAGTTAAATAAGGTTGCAGCAACACAATTGACGAGAACAAGTGAATAAAAAAGGCATAAAATGTGAGTTAGTGTCATCAGCCAATTCACTTTAATAACTCTACCTACATGTACATATTACCTCAATTACCTCGACTAACCGGTGCCCCCGCACATTGACTCGGTACCGGTACCCCCTGTATATAGCCTCGCTATTGTTATTTTTAATGCTGCTCTTTAATTATTTGTTACTTTTATTTCGTATTATTTTATATAGTATTTTTTTGTGTGATTTTTTTGGTCTTCTTTCTTAAAACTGCATTGTTGGTTAAGGGCTTGTAAGTAAGCATTTCACTGTAAGGGCTACCTACACCTGTTGTATTCGGCGCATGTGACAAATAACATTTGATTTGATTTATATGCTCCACAATTAATCTTAAACTAGAGTCTCTAGACCTTTATCAGGGTCCTGATGAATGTTCTGATTGACACAAACTTTGGTTCAAGATCCATTCAATCTATTGTGGAATATACAAGACCATCATGGTGTACCAACTACCCTCTTCTCAACCCATTATTTCAATCATGTTAGTTATGAACATAAATCACCTTTCATCCTCTACCCTTACTTCTCCTCCAATCACACACCGGCGTTACAGTACAGGAGTCAGTAACAGGTGTGTAACAACCAGGTTATTACAGTACTTGTTTCTTTCAGTTGCCAGTGACAATGGATGATACATGATGAATATTAGCAATTAACATAAGTGTATGAGGTCCTAGCAGCCAGTTTGCAGTGGAAGCACAGAAAGACAATCAATTAATTTAATTATTTTGTGCAGGATATTCCTCCATGGTTACATCAATAGAAAATCAAGGACAACATACAACCAAGAAAGATGCTTGACATGTTTGTGGAATAAATATGATCACAATACAGCAGTTGTACCTCTCCATTGTACACAGTCTGCATAGATTCATTTACACACAAAGATAATACGTCAATAAACATCAGGGTTAACAGAGGGTACATGATGCACCAGAAACAACAGCTCTGCTGGCTATACTACAGAGACCTGGTGACCGTCTGGATGTGATGTGTGTCAATAGCGTGGTTCCAGTGTTCAACAAACAACCATTCTGAACTGTCACAGAGGCACTTACATTAAACAGAAGACAATGACAGACAGTTAACAGTTACGCACTGCATTACTGATCTCAGCTGTTGGCAAAGCCTCCCCTGAGAACCTGTCTTATAGTAACACTGTGATTATTCCTCTGCTCTAGCAGTGGTGGTCAGACTGCTCAGCTAATACTAACATAATAACCCTAAAGCCAGTTAGCCAGGCGGTGCGGAGGGAGTCAGAAGCAGGAATCGGGGACGGGTCTCTGCTGCCTGCCCAGGGAGGTGGTGCTGTAGCGTGTCCGCTGCAGGGTGGCATTGCTGGGCTTGTCTGTGGCCAGGCTGCTGCCGGGGGCTGGGGGAGCTACCTGCCCGTTCCTCTGCAGAGAGGCACACCTGCGCAAGGTCAAGTCCAGTTTGGTCTGGATGTTGCTGGAGCTATGGGCACGCTTGATGTCCGCCGCAGAGCTGTGATTCCCTGCCCTCCCGTTGATAAGCTGCCCTTTGCTGTGACGGTAGTCACCTCTAGGGGCGCCGTTGGCCCTCTTTTCCTCCAGTGCTACTCTGTTCAGGGTCCCATTGGAGAGGGAGAGTTTAGACGAACTCCCGTTTGCCACCTTGCTTGCTCGTCCATGGCCATTGGCCCGGACCTCCTCCCCCTTGCTAGGTGTCCTCTGAGTGTCTTTCTTCAGGAAGCCTGGTTTGAAAAAGGACAAGAGGCTGTCGTGGCTCCTAACCTCCTCACCCCTCGTCCCCTTCCTCTCCTCAGGCTGTAGACCAGCCTGCAGCGCCTCCCTCTGTGCCCCTACCCTGGAGGTCAGCCCTGCTTGGGCCTTCGGCCTCTTCAGTGTGGAGTCCCTACTTGGGGGGGCACTGTGGCTTATGTGGACCCCAGCAGTGGAGCCTCTATGGGGGTGAGGGTCCAGGGTCCTGCCCTGGTCCTGCCTGATCCTCTTGGAGGACCTCCGGCCCAGTGAACTGTCATCCCTGGCTTTAGTGATGATATTGAGCCCCAGGCTGGAGCTCCTCTCTACGGCAGGCCTGCTCTGGCCCTCTGGTACTCTTGGGGAGTCGCAGGCCTCAGAGTTGGACCTGTCCATGCAGCTCAGGCTGCTCCCACTGGGGGAGCTTCCCAGGTCCCTGTGCCCGCCCTCCGAGAGCCTCCCCTGGGGCGGGGTGGCCACCAGGGTGATGATGGGGTCCTTGGTGCACCGCGGCCTGCGCCCTGACTCTAGGTACTCCACCAGCTCCCCTGGCCTGGGGGCGGAGGGTTTGCGGCGGTCCTTGGAGCCAAAGGACCAGCGCAGGGGCAGCACTTTGCTCAGGGTGTCCTTGGTCTTAGTGGGTGACCTCATGCTCACGCTCCTACCCTGAGTGCCTCGGACAAATGGCTTATTCTCAAACCCATCTGGACCCAGGAGAAAAACAAACACAGTTAGGATTCTTCCTCATATTCCTCCTCTTTTATAATGGTCCATTGATTGACATATCTACATAATCATCTGCTTTTTAATGATGAAATTAAATCACTATACACAGAGATAATCCTCTTTGAGTAACAACCAGAACTTCAGACCAATCAGACACAGCGAGCCATAGTGTTTTTATTTATGTGGGCCACTCACCTGTCTCTGTTTTGAGAGGCTCGTCATGGAACACAGGAAGCTCTGGTGATTCGGGGGTTGGTGTGGGGCCAGGAAGGCCAGAGGTGGACCCCCCAGAGACCAGGCTGCCCCTCTTACTGTCCCCCGTCAGACGGATCAGCCAGTGGTCTGACGTGGAGGAGCTGGTGGAGCCTGCAGAGGTAGTAGAACACTGTTACACAGAGCATAGTGCCATCTACTGGCCTCTCAACACAGCTAATGCATACAAACCTGTCTCTTCTCCTAGAGTTCGGAAGAGTTCGTGCTTATATTATGACAACATTTTGTGACGTTTTTGTTAGTTTTGGACTTCGATAACGTTTTTTTCGGCTGTTTGGGCACACAAAAAAAAGCCTGAAGTCGGTAGCCAAAGTTTTTCATTGAGGAACAGTGCACCAAACATATTATTTAGATGTAAAAATGCAGGACTAAGATCTCCTCTGCAAAAACGTCAAAATTAATGACAGATTTCTTGAGTTATCTTAGATTAATTCAGATTATTTTGAGGAAGTGTATACAGCCTAACGGCGTCTCAAGAGGGACAAACAGTACCATTGCCGCTTTTTTCTCGTTTTCCAAGCGAAGGTCTTTTAAGGGAGTATGCGAGGCACAGACGTTCACTTTGCCCAGCCGAGTTCTACTAGAAGCAAACCGAACCTAGTATGCAGACGCCTTTACTGTACCTCAATCCTATGATGGACAAGGTACACACTGTCAATCATATACTCTTTTGATTTCAACATTAATGCTTCAATTTAGAAAAATGTCTGGATACTGTCATTGAAGTGCCATTCATTATTGGGTGATGAAAGCCATCATTTCCCCAATAATGGATTTCAGAAGCCTTATTTCCATTTCATGGATATACTTTCAACTAAAGACCTCTAAAGGTCAGTATTCTTCTAGAACCAATTGGTATATATCATCTATTGAAATGACAAAATAGAACTGTAGGACATATTGCAGACTGTGGCTTAATTAAAAGACTTGTCAACATGGCTCACCTATGAGGGAGGAGCTGGCTGACCATGGAGGGATGGTGTTGCGTCTCTGGTAGAAGAGGATGTAGGCTCCCCGTGTGCACACCTCCCCCTCTGGGACTGGCTCTGCACTGCTGTCATCATACCCATACCACTGGGCGTCCACTGAGTTCCTGCAGAACGCTGCACAGAGACACAGACACCTGTTCAGACATGCACAACTGTGTGTACTTCCATACATACTGAACAAACCATCACCATATCTTTATTATCATCATCAAACACATTTTTGGACTGGATCTCACTTCAAGACACCTTGCTGATTAAGACCACTTTCACTGAGACTGATATTTCATAGAACATTTACAGAATGCGAATATGACAGCCAGACAGTCCCTCCATACAAACCTGTGTAATGTCCTCCGTGCATTCCTCCGTGGTGGTTACACACGGCATAGAGGTCATATAGGAAGTCTGGAGGGGCCATGTCGGGTGGGCGGGGCTGTTTCCAGGCCGGGTGCAGGGAGCCGGGGGGCAGAGGGCCGTGGGGGGGCAGCCGGGTGCTCTGACTTCTCTTCACCACATGGGGTGCCATGTCCAGGCCGGCCAGAGGGAAGCGCACCAGTGTGGCCAGCTTGTTGCGGCGCTCGCCCACCTGCCGGAAGCGCTTGAGGTGGAGGATGAGGATGTCAGGCAGCGTCCACAGGCTCATCTTCACCATGCCCTGCTGCAGCTGCTTACAGTGGGGACATTTCCATGCATCGTCTGGGGCCAGCTGGCAGAGAGAGAGAGAGAGAGAGAGAGAGAGAGAGAGAGAGAGAGAGAGAGAGAGAGAGAGAGAGAGACAGAGAGAAAGATAGAGTATTTATCCATGTCAAAAAAATACAAAATCTTTTTTCATAGTATTACTTACCCACCAGTGTTGTGATTGGCTGTGATATATGCCTATTCATTTCTCCCGCCCAAGCGGCATCTGTTCTGACTTTGTGGCTGTGTTATCTAGTGAACATTTCCTGGTTGCTAAATTCTACACTGTTCGCTCAATTTCAGTTTATGTGAAAAAACAAGCACTGAATAGTACCATCTAGATCACTGTGAAATAACAATAACAAAAAATATTGTTTTTACAGCAGTTTGAAGCAGGTGGAGCAAACATTTGTTTTTAGATGGACCAAAACCTTTAAGATGCTAATGACATGAAACATGGTCTGATACAGGTCGCGGTGGTCTTCAGGTGATAGCTCTGTGCATGAGACCGTGTCTGTTTCATCAGTACAGTATGTGAAGCCTCATTTATCAGTCTCATTCACAACCTGTTGCCGGGGCGACTGCCTCTGGAATTCTAATCCCTCTGATTAGTGTTCATGAAGAAGAGTGGAGGAAGGAGATGGAGGCAGCTGTATCCAATAACCTTAATGTTCAGTCGAGGATACTAATCTGGTCACGAATGGAGCTAAAGAAAGCTTAGTCATTTGCCTCATGAATGGCAATGGAAAAGGATTCACTCCTATCAGAAGCAGACATAGGACTCAAAGACTACAGTGCTCAGGAAGAAACTAAGAGAAGGCTCTTGAGGAGGACATGTTCTGGACGTCTATGTCGCATATTACATAAACCAAATTACAGGCTTTGAAATTCTTGTACACCTCTTACCTATTGGATATTCAGGACGTTCCCTGAAACAACCTCTTCATATAATGAGGTATGGAGGGGCATGGAGATGTGGCATGAGTGTAAACAACATATTGTGGTACAGTATAAGTGGGAGCAGGAAGATCAACCAAGCATTCGGAGGACAAAATGGATTCTGATTCATAAATCGTTCAGACACAGAGCTGGGTGCAGGTACAGTTAAGCTAAAGCAGGCCGGGGATACAGATGGCAGTTCCCAGCAGGAACTCAGTCCATTCACAGCTCTAATAGAATACCAACACTCCACTGATGGGAAAATTAATTCCACCTCAGGTCATCTTGATTGATTTGACTGAAGGCAGATTTTGTTCTTGGGGTCATATCACTGCATTCACATCCTTTGATGTTACTGTTGACGTTGCATCTGATAACACTGGGGGGTCTGTAAGAGGCATTATGGATTCCATAATGATGTCCTTAAAGGGATTGTTCATCCAAATAACAAATGTGCATCTTTTTGTTAAGGTAGCATAAGATTAATTCATTAGCTATTTGGATGAACTATCCCTTAAAGGAACGTTTCAAACTAGAGGCAGTCTCCCCTATAAACAAAAATACAGTATATAATGGTAGCAAGGATTTCTTTGCTCCTCGTCAGTGATTCAGTCAGTGGATTCGGTACATAAGGTTCTATGGCACTGTCAAACTCATTCCACAGAGGGCCGAGTGTCTGCGGGTTTTCGCTCCTCCCTTGTACTTGATTGATTAATTAAGGTCACTAATTGTGGTCCTCTGTAGCTCAGCTGGTAGAGCACGGCGCTTGTAACGCCAAGGTAGTGGCTTCGATCCCTGGGACCACCCATACACAAAAAACAAAAAAAATATGTATGCACGCATGACTGTAAGTCGCTTTGGATAAAAGCGTCTGCTAAATGGCATATTATTATTATTATATTTAATTAGTAAAGAACTCCCCTCACCTGGTTGTCTAGGGATTAAAAAACTAGAGGAACAGGTACATTATCTCCAAAACTAAAACCAGCAGACACTAGGTCCTCCATGGAATGAGTTTGACACCCCTGTTCTATGGGGAGAGAACAGATTGCACTCAGCAGTGGTTGTTGCCTGCCTGTAGGAGGGAGATAATGTACCTGTTCCTCTTTAGTGTAGAGCCGAAAGCACTCGTCCAGGGTACAGCTGTGCTGCTGGACGTGCTGCTGATGCTGGCCTCTCACACTCTCAGCATCCTTCACCACCTCCTCCTGGATGTTTCCAAACAGGCTGCAGGAGACCACACACACACACACACACACACAAAGTTGGGAACATGCACACAGAGAGAGAAAGAGGCTGTCAGCCATTACTATAATAAGGCATGTGCAGCAGCATACATACTGTTTAATGATTACAGTAGGTCTACAATAATACAGGGCTAGAATAAAGTTATAGAGTGTCACTGAGATTGACTGACCAGTCTTTGATTCTGTGTTCCCACTCGATGATGAGCTTCACATGGGGCGGTCCTCCTGAGCCACAGAGATTAAGAGCTCTGGGAACAAAAGGGTCAAAGGTCATCAGATTAGCAAGGTGAAACTAATCCCTTTCGCACACTGTCCACCTATTATTCAGGTGGTATGTACATTTTGTTATGGTGCTTTTCCATTGAGTCTTACCCTCCTCACCAGTGGGCCACCAGTGTTTTATGGTAATGTTAGCCAGCGTTTCCCAAACTAGGGGTCACAACCCCATGTGGGGTCACCAGATTTGAAAATGGGGTCGTGAGAGAAATGTGGCTCTATCTTTTGAACAGTTTAAGCTACAAAATATTATGACCCCATCACTGAAAGATAAGACTCTCAGGAACACGTATGTGTCTGTTTCCCTCTACAATGCCCACAAGCCTCATTAGAACAGAGTGGACAAGACCAGGCACTAAATCAGGGAAAAAGAACATCATCAATGATTGTTATTTTCTACGTAGAAGATCATACAAAAACAACCTCTGCAAAAACAACCTAGCCATGGCCTAGTGAGACACGGGTGCCGGCCCACATAGATGGAAAAATAAAAGTCTGAGCCTTTTGGGTAAAACACTGGGTAAATCCTCATTGGAAATGCGGCATAGAGACCTTTTCATAGAGGGCCTTTGTGCAGCAGCATGTATTTATAGACTCTGTACAGCCACTAGGTGTCAGCATGACCTTACAATTAAAGATCCACCACATGCTGGGATTCAAAAAAAGTTGCAGATCATGGATTTCTAGATAGTGCTTTCAGAAGTGCATTTTCAGAGGCTGAAGAAACAGAATATCCACAAACTATTCACACAACAGCATATGTTTAAAATATATGTGCACAATGGATGGTAAGAAAGTAGATGAAGAAAAAAGGAATGTCCACAACTCTGGTACGTTCCCATGGTGATTTAATCAGACGCACAATATAGACAACGTTTTGATCCGAGTTGGATCTTCGTCAGGTCAAGAAAGTAGTTGAACATTAGCTTTTCATTCAGAGCCCGTGTTAACGTTACTGTAGGCCCCTTGAAACCCTGACAGCATTTTATATCATCATGTTGGGGATATAAAGCATGTTATGAATCAGATTGATTTAATTTAAAAGTGTTATGTGCCTTACCAAACCCTAACAGCTAAAGCAATGAATGAGGCTATTCTTGGTGTGATAGAGCCACACCAGAAACCCAGCTCCACTAATTGGATCAGTTATAAATAGGTCTTAAATTAAATGGTAGGTGGGATTTTAGACAATTTGTGAGGGATTAATTGGGGATTTTCCTTAAATCTGCTAGTTATTCATGAGCAGTAGAAGAGGTGGAATGGGGACAATACAGAGAAACAATTTATTTCTCAGTTTCTACTACAATGAAGCGTGTTTTCTTGACTCAAATCTTCTGTGACAGTTGTGTTTTTATAATGGCCTTGAGAGATCCATCCAGCCTCAAAAGGACTCAATTATACAGTATTTGAATGCAGAAATATCTCTCAGATCAGTTGGCAAGATTGTCTACAGTTTTATTGGCAGAGAGTAGAATAGTAAATTCACTATCACAATGTCTGTGCCTGTTTGTATACATATTGTGCTCGGGGGTCCCGCAGGTAAACTACATTATATTCTGGGCTGAGAGTCAAGCAAAGCCAGCTGAACTCTTCAAGCGAACACTTCTAACAGAATTTCATTACACAGTGATCTTCATGGCTATGGGGTGCCTCTCAGTATGAGCCCAGGAGATTACAGATCTGTAGAGACAGTACATGTATCTCTCCACAGGCTATAGCTGCTTTCATTTACCACCATCACAGCTACTATTATGACTCTACACACCCCTGCCCATGCTGAAGGCTGGCTATGGGCACCCACAAAATAGCAACAGGATAAATGCATCTATACTGGTCAAAGGAGCGCAGTGGGATAGCAGACAACCTATATGCTGGAAGAAGAATTCTCCTTCCAATCATTTTATTTTCCAAAGTAAGGGATAGGTATTGATTGAACTGCTAATGTTTTTACTGATGGTGTTGTTGAAGGTCGAAAGAAATCACATAAACCTTTGAGGGGCACTCTTACAGCAATTTAGTAGTTTTACTGAAATATCAATACATTAATGAGTCTTGTAGCATCATCATCAAATAGAAGTGTTCTGAATACTGTGCACTTGAAAAGCACCATGCCCCCCAGCAACCATTCAAATGGATGAATGGACATTTCTAAGCAACTGGAGGAATTCTGCCTTGCTAAAGTGCCCTTTAAAATGGCAATTACCTTCCACAGAACGTAAACCATTAGACACCCTCTCCTGAAAAGGAACCTTACAAAAAGGCTGCATATTTCACCGCTGTAAGAAATGGGCATTACATAATCAACTACACAGGCTGCCTCTCAGTAAAGAGCTACCAATACAAAATATAGAGGGAAGAAACTGTGGCTTTGACACATTACTCTTGAAATGCTTGGAAGACTTGCTTGAACACCTCTACTTCTTCACTTTAGCTTGATGAACCCCCCTGTTCGCGGCCTTACCTTCTCATCTCACTACCTAACTGTCTGACCAGCTGTCAGTCTCACCTGTCCACTGCTGGGTGGTAGAGCGGCCGTCCATCCTGGGGGGATAGGTAGCTGTAGGACGCTGATCCTCCCACCACACGGATCTTAAACAGCACTCTGGCATTCTGCAAGACGACCACAGGTTAAAAATGATGATTATTGAATGAATCAATATTGGCATTGCCACTGGAGTTAGGAGCAGGGACTAGAGTACTGTACAACTATGAGTGTACAGTATAATCAGGGATCCAGATCCCACTGGTCTTGGTGAACTTGCATATGGTGATGGATAGCACAGTTCTTTGAATTATAATTTGATGAATGCAATACCCTCTAAAATACTGTCTGCACAGGACAGGTCAAGGTTTGTAGTCAGTAAAAAGTGCCCTATCATCTGATGTGGCGGTTGAATAATGATTTGTAAAGGCAACATCCCCCAGCAATAACACCCTTCGACTTGGCACTGTTTATTATGGTCATAATTGGCCTGAGAAAACACAACAATAGATTACTAAAACGTTTTATGGCTTAGACAGAAAAATACAGAAAATAAACAACTTCTAATGGGTCCATTTGAAATACTGCCACCAGAGAGAAGATGAGCAGCCAAACGTTCAAATAAATGAATTGGAGTTAATAGTTCCAAACCACATTTTCCCTGGCCAAAGCCTCTGAATCTTTCTGACAGGCTTGGGGCTCTGCACCAAACTTGGAGGACGCTAGGAAAGGGTGGGTCTTTCCAAATTAATCATTAAGATTTGTCTTAGTTTTCACCTCATCTCTGCGGAACATGCGGGAGAGACTGTTGTTTACAGAGAACAGTTCTAGTTTGTGGAGGTCCTACCAGGAACAAAATTAATAAAACAAACTAACAGAAAATATGGTTCCAAAGTTTCACAGGTTAATTTCGATGTGAAACACCCAATAAACCCAAAGATAATCACCCTCCTTATGCTTGTTTTGATTGCATCTGAAAAATGGAGATGAAAAGAGAAGAAAAAATGTATTCTCCTTTGAAATGTGTTTATATTACTCAGAGACCTGCTGGGATTGGATGTTCTGGAGTGCTTTGCAGAAAATGAAATTGATTTCCTCTCCTTCAAATGAATTCCTGTGAGTTGCTGGCCGGATTCCAGGATAAACAACAACACTGATTCTTGTGAAGAGGAGAGAACCAAAAATAGGTGGTGAAGGCATTATGTAAGTAGGAGAACACTGAACTGACTCGTCCTGCAAAGTATTGAAACACTACAATCCTGAAAATACTGTAAATATTGCAAAGATGTACAAGGTATTGACTATTTCTATGATGATTGTTGCTACGAGTATGAAAATGTTGACTTTCCATGTCAGAAACAAACTAAAGTCAATGAATCAGTCAATAACATAATAGCATGGCATTGAAATTCATTAGCCATAGATCATATAAGATCGACTAAACCAGGGGTGTCAAACGTCCGGCCCGCATCAGGCCCGCAAACGGGTTTAATCCGGCCCGCGAGATGATTTTGTAAAGTATAAAAATGAGCTGCAATTTTTCAATAAAAGAAACGGCTGTTCCAATTGTGTCCACTGGATGGAGCAATAGCAATTGTGTTAAGCAAGCAAACTGTTTATACAGGGGCAGAGCAAATAGGTCAAGCAAGTGCAGCCAGTCCGGATGAGCTACTTTGTTTTGCCCGTGATATTTATTACAGCTTCTACTTTTAACATTATGTGCTTTGGCACCCTCATTGCCCCAATATGTCTCTGTCAAAAAAGAGAAAAGTGGACGCAGAGTGCAGAGTGTTCCAAGAAAAATTGTCATCTTTCTATTTATTCACGGAATTGAATGGGAAAGCTGTATGTTTGGTGTGTTCACAGCATGTTGCAGTGCTGAAAGAATATAACCTTCGTCGCCACTATGTGAGTCTTCATGCCGACAAATATGACAACTTTCAAGGACAGCGGAGAAGAGAGAAGGTGAATGAACTGTTGGTGGGTCTGAAGAAACAGCAGTCTGTTTACTCACAGCCGAGACATCAGTGGCGCTGCAGTGAAAGCTAGCTACCTCATTGCTAATGAAATCGCAGTGGCTTCAAAACCATTTAGTGAGGGTGAATTTGTAAAAACATGCATGATGAAGGCAGCAGAGATTGTGTGCCCTGAAAAGCACCAGGCTTTTGCAAATATCAGCCTGACAAGAAACACAGTTGCAGACAGGATTTCCGATCTTTCAGTGGATTTGGACAGCCAGTTGAAGCAAAAAGTAAAGTCATTTATTGCGTTTTCGGTTGCAATTGATGAAAGCACGGACATTACAGATGTTGCACAACTGGCCATTTTCATCCGCGGAGTTGATGACACATTGACCGTCACCGAGGAGTTCGTGGAGTTGGTGCCGATGACAGATACAACGACAGCAGCTGAAATTTTCACTGCACTCGTCGGCGCGCTGGACAGGGTCGGAGTGGACTGGTCCCGCGCTGTCAGCCTGGCTACAGATGGTGCGCAAAGTTCAGAGAGAAAGTGCAATCTGCAAATGGAGGACGTGATTTTTGGACTTTTCACTGTATTTTGCACCAGGAGGCTTTGTGTTGCAAGTCATTAAAGATGGATAATGTCATGAATAAAACAAAGCTGCGCTCAAGGCTCACGCACAAGCACTTGAATCACATCCTGAAGTTGGCTGCCACTCAGGATGTGACGCCTGATATTGATGCGCTGGTGAAAGCTTAAAGATGCCAGGTATCAGGAGTCAAATAAACTATGCAACCCCACTTAAAGTGCTGCATGAGACACCCTGATATAGTTCTGTGATCTGTGATATACTTCTGTGAATCACTGAGGCATTGTGTGTTTGTGTGTTGTTTGTCCTCAGAATTTCAAATAACTTGAGGTGTTTTATGATTAATAGTGATGTTGTGCTTTTGGACACACTGTCCTCAGGCTCCAGCTTTATGTTTATATGTTTTTATGTTGATGTGCTATTGTTTTTAATTGATTTTATTGTATTTGTATATTTAACCTATTCTTGACTCTGTGGTTCTTGCACTTGTTTGGGGAACAGGATTTCATTATTAGTATCTACATTTCTGCCTGAGAAATGACACCCTGATATAGTTCTGTGATCTGTGAAACAGTTATGTGAATCACTGAGGCATTGTATGTTTGTGTGTTCTTTTTCTTTAGAATTTTCAAATAAACTTCAGGTGTTTTATGATTAATAGTGATGTTGTGCTTGTACTATTTTGGACACACTGTCCTCAGGCTCCAGCTTTATGTTTTATGTTGATAGTATTAAAACAAAGAAAACAATCTGAAGTTGTTGTTTTTAAGTTATATATACCATGATTTTACCGGTCCGGCCCACTTGGGAATAGATTTTCCTCCATGTGGCCCCTGAGCTAAAATGAGTTTGACACCCCTGGACTAAACCCTTCCATTATTATTGCAGGATAATAATGGGATGGTTGCTGTTACTACAGTCATCCTGATGGGGGCAGCTCCCATCTGTCCAAACAGCCCTTTCAGGGTTTGTTTAACGCTTAAAAGGAAAAATCCACTCAAAAACTATATTTTGGTATTTTTTTCATTAGTCCACTGTTAATACAGTCCCAAAATCTTTTGCATGCCATCAGTCAAGTTTTAAAGAAGCAAAGTGTCACTTGCCACATCATCATGAGGATGCAAAACGCATCATCATGATGATGTGGAACATGGTTATTTTAACTTTCAGGGGTGGTCAGAAGATTTACAAACTAATGCCACCTGTTTTACTGTCCCACATTTTCAGATATTGTACTGTTTCTGGTGGTCTGAAGGGCTGTGTTCCCACCCATCCAGGACATCTACTTGAAACTGTGCCTGAGGAAGTCCAGCAGCATCATCAAGGACCCAACACACCCCAGCCATGAGCTGTTCACTCCCTTACCATCGGGCAGACGGTATCGAAGCATGAGGTCTGATACCAACAGGCTCAGAGACAGTTTCTATCCACAAGCCTTCAGACTGCTGAACACTTGAACTGGACTGACCACCTGCTCTGATTCTCCGCACCTTAGCACACATGCACTCACTCACGCATGCGCGCACACACACACACACACACACACAGTGCCTTCGGAAAGTATTCAGACCCCTTGACCTTTTCCACATTTTGTTAGGTTACAGCCTTATTCTAAACTGTATTAAAATGTTGTTTTTTCTCCTCATCAATCTACACACAATATCCCATAATGACAAAGCAAAAACAGGTTTTTAGAAATTGTTGCTAATTTATATATATATATATATATTTTTTTTTTAAATATCACATTTACATAAGTATTCAGACCCTTTACTCAGTACTTTGTTGAAGCACCTTTGGCAGCGATCACAGCATTGAGTCTTCTTGGGTATGACGCTACAAGCTTGGCACACCTGTATTTGGGGAGTTTCTCCCATTCTTCTCTGCAGATCCTCTCAAGCTCTGTCAGGTTGGATGGGGAGTGTTGCTGCACAGCTATTTTCAGGTCTCTCCATTTTCAAGGACATTCAGAGACTTGTCCCGAAGCCACTCCTGCATTGCCTTGGCTGTGTGCTTAGGGTCATTGTCCTGTTGGAAGGTGAACCTTCGCCCCAGTCTGAGGTCCTGAGCGCTCTGGAGCAGGTTTTCATCAAGGATCTCTCTGTACTTTGCTCCGTTCATCTTTCCCTCGATCCTGATTAGTCTCCCAATCCCTGCCGCTGAAAAACACCCCCACAGCATGATGCTGCCACCACCATACTTCACTGAAGGGATGGTGCCAGGTTTCCTCCAGAAGTGACGCTTGGCATTCAGGCCAAAGAGTTCAATCTTGGTTTCATCAGACCAGAGAATCTTGTTTATCATGGTCTGAGAGTCTTTAGGTGCCTTTTGGCAAACTCCAAGCGAGCTGTCATGTGTTTTTTACTGAGGAGTGGCTTCCGTCTGGCCACTCTACCATAAAGGCCTGATTGGTGGACTGCTGCAGAGATGGTTGTCCTTCTGGAAGATTCTCCCATCTCCACAGAGGAACTCTAGAGCTCTGTCAGAGTGACCATCGGGTTCTTGGTCACCTCCCTGATTTCTAAAAACCTGTTTTTGCTTTGTCATTATGGGGTATTGTGTGTAAATTGCTAAGAATTTATTTTTATTTAATCCATTTTAGAATAAGGCTGTAATGTAACAAAATTTGAAAAACGTCAAGGGGTCTGAATACTTTCCGAAGGCACTGTACATTAATGATACACACATATCCCAATTGCTGCTACCAGACTCTCATTTACTATTGCTAATACTGCACAATTTAAACACTTCCCCCCTAACCCCCCCCCTTCTCTGATATATGTGTAAATATTGGACTATAAATTGTACCTTCCTGTATTATCCTTATGCTAAAATGTTTATTATATTCTACTGAGCCATTTACTTTATGTTCATATTCTTATATTTTATCATTTCTTATTTTAGTTGCACTGTCGAGAAGGAACCCGCAAGTAGGTGTTTCGTTGGACAGTGTATATCATGTGTATCCTGTACATATGATTAATAAAACTTGAAACTTGAGGGAAAGGGAAAGGGAAAATTGATGTCCTTAAATTGATTTCCAATAGGGGGAGCCACTACTCCTCTTGATGCATTTGGATTGACATTATATTATGAATTCAAATGATGAAAAAAGAGAAATCTTTGCAAAGGTATACAGAATGACAATACTACTGAGGAATTATATGTAGAAAGCTGCTATGGGACTGTACATTTGGATGCAGTGTGGGGATACAGCTCTACACCGACCTGTCATGGGATAACCTAGAATAAAGATACTAGATCTAAATTCTTGGACCTAGGGGGAATAACCAGACCTCAAAGGAATCCGTGAGGCCTGCAGTTTGTCTAAATACCCTAGACGGTCCTGAAGAGGGTTTTTCTATTTTTGTCTTCAACCTGAGATAGCGATCACAGAACACATTAAGTGCCCTTATGACTGCACCAACTGAAATGCCAGAATGGTTTAAAATGGAAGAAGAATGGATTTCCCACTGGGTCATACTGTCCTCTATAAATGCATGTGTAAAGCAGCTACATATTTAAGGTCCTAGTGTTTATCGCGTCACCTCCTGGTAGCTTTCCATGCTGTCTCTAAGCAGTCTTTTGTGAACGCCTTCACTTAGAATACCTCAACCTTCCCAAAGTCTTCAAAGTCAATTACCTGTCAAAAGCTTGAAACGAAAGATGACAATAGAAGACCTGAAATTAGTTTTCCTCTCATCTAGTACTTAGCCACTTTCGGCTTTGCATGATAGACTTGTGTGTACATGCAAAGACCACCCATGCGCACACACACAGATACAGTATATACCCGTGTGTGTGCGCATCTCACCCACGGCTGCTGTCTAAGAATGTGTGAAAAGCACTGGGGTGTGTATGAAGTAGAAAGAGGCTCAGCTCAGCTGTGTGTGTAACAGGTCAAATCAAATCAAATCTTATTGGTCACATACACGTGTTTAGCAGATGTTATTACGGGTGTAGCGAAATGCTTGTGTTTCTAGCTCTGACAGTGCAGTAATATCTAACAAGTATTATCTAAGAATTTCACAACATATACCCAATATACACATATCTAAGTAAAGCAATGGAATTAAGAATATATAAATAAATATATGGATGAGCAATGTCCATATACTGTATGGACGAGCAATATATGGACGAGCAATGTGTGTATGTGCGTGTGTGACAGGTGTGTGTGTATGTGCCTGTGTGACAGGTGTGTGTGTATGTGCCTGTGTGACAGGTGTGTGCATGGGTGTGTGAGAAGGTAAGAGTAAGTGAGAGGAAAAATTAACATATTAGCACCTAGGTTTGGTCTGGCTCTGAGTAATGTCACCCCCTGTCAGAATGATTGCTGGGTAGATAGGAAGACCAACACGGCTAAAACTCAACATCACGCAACACTACACCTACTGAGCTTCTACCTGTCTCAGACAGAACACTGCATGAGGCAAGAGAAGACCAAACAATACTGAATTAGAAACAAAAGTTGTTATTTCACTTTGTTATAGTAGCACACGCATTCCAAGAGAAAATCACTGCTTTCAGTTTCTTTCAATTTCAAATCTACCTGGGTTAATTACTGCTTGTGTTAAGAGAACATTATGTTTTGGTAGAAAGCAACACTATTTATACACGTGAGAATAATGTACTAATGCTTTCCCATTAAAATCTAAGCAATTGACTTTCACTGAAGGATTGCTGCTAAAGCCCTCACATATTACCATAACATCATCTGTCTGTGTAACATGGTCTGTCTCTGTGTTAGTGTGACAAATATCAAAATATCCATTCTCCATTCCACCTTTACAAATCTCCTCATCTCCCGTATTACATCTTCAATTAAATCTCATCAGTGAGGGCATCACGTAGTGTGATGAATTACAGCTCGGATTCTAAGCCATAGCCTGGTCAAGGAGGGGTGTTGTTATTCTCTAATTATACACAGTCACCAGCACCATGTCATCTGTATGGTTAGCGTAGCATACGTAGCATGTCACCTTGTCTGCTCTAGTGAGCAGCTCCATGCTGACTGAGATGTCAGGCAATGGAGAGGCAACATCAGGATCAAATGAGGCAGACTGACTGGCTTACTGCCACTCTGCTGCTATTGGACTCCATTTCTGTGGTCTAAAATTAGATAAGGGTAGAAAATTAACTTTGAAAGTAAGTGATTGCTGCCATAAACAGCAGGTTGTCGCGTATCTGTCCTTTCAAGCTCTAGATAATTGTTTTTGGCAAAACATCCATTTGGAGTGTCTCTCTCTTGGCTGAGGTAGGCTCCTTACACTGATTTTATAAGCTAGGCTTTAATTAAAGTTTCACACTCTTTTACTCTTCCTTCACGGCATCTCTGTCTCTCCTTCTCTCTTCACGGAATGCTAACCTGTCATCTGTTTGTTTTCTCCCTAAAACGGCGGGACACTGGAGCCTTTAGCAGACAGACAGACAGACAGACATGCAGACTGGTGGCCATGCAGCCGCCTGACAGAGTCAGACTAACTGGAAAGCTGTTTGGCGACATGATTAACATCATGCTAAGCTGTGCTGAACCGCAATCAGAGGTTACAAAGCTGGACGCATCTAAGCAGACTGTTTTGTTTGCATTTGTATCATGACATGTTTGTCCGATGTTCTGCGGTTGTTCCAACAAAGGCGGAGACAGCACAAAAAAGCCACTTGGTTTGAATCTTCCAGCAAGACAAAATCAACATTTTGCAATGGCCATCTCAGTCTCCGGACTTGAAACCCATTGAAAGCCTGTGGTTTGAATTTAAGAGGGCAGTCCATAAGCGCAGACAAAGGATATTATCTTTATCAAGGGTGTCAATAATTTAGAACCTGACTGTATACGCAAATACCGTAATGTCGTTTTGGTTAGGTTTTTTTTATACTCAAGAGGTAGCCCATACTGTACTAGAAGACAAGGTATAGAGAGATATAACAGGCAGAAAACCCACTAGCCCAGGGTTAGAGGTTATGGTCTTCCAGTGTTGTACCTGGGCCTGTGCTCCATTGATCATTAGGTAGTAGAGCTTGCTGAGGATGCTCTGCTGCAGCTGGTCCCAGGAGATGGAGCGGTCCTCTCTCATCAGGAACGGAGGTCCAAACCTGAAGAGCAGATGGGAACACATGATGACCATTCAGTCAGAAGAGAGAGGATCTTAGACAGTTATACGTGAAGTGAACTGAACTGATCAAAAACCTTAATTTCATTGATGAGCATGTTTGTGGTCAACTAACATTTCATTGACCCAAATGACTGTTTAATCAATGTACAGTGAGGGAAGAGTAGAGCACAGTACACATCCTGCATTCACTTCTCACACTGTCACATAGCCAGAACCACACTAGCCCTGCTTAGGTTGCTGGTTTCTTACCAGTCTTCAGCCCCCTTCACCTATCGTCACGGATGATGAGAAAATGCTCAACCTACATAATCACCATTATACCAGAGCTCTCATTACAGTGCATCTATATGAGACACACAGAGATAATGATACATTATAACAAGAGCACAGGCATGGCCCTCCATCAGAGCTGAAGGATCACATGATGCCTTCATTAACCTCTACTGGATCAGTGTCCCGAAATCGGGACAGTTGTTGCTCAATATGCGATATTTGACTAGAATGGCGTTGTAAACAACAGCCAACTTTCCGGGACATAAACATGTCTTATATCGTCAGAAAGCTTAAATGATTGTTAATCTAACTGCAGTGTTCAATTTACAGTAGCTATTACAGTGAAAAAATACCATGCTATTGTTTGAGGATAGTGCACAACAACAAAACACTTTTATCAAGGCAACTGGTTTGATACATTCACCTCTGATGGTAAATGATGTACTTACATTCAGTAATGTTGCTCTGATTTGTCATCCTGTAGCGTAGTTTTGTTTGATAAAATAAATGTGTATATCCTAACACGATCCATGTTGTATACAGCGTTTCGCATGAATTCCGACTCTTTCAACTTGCAACAAAACAATTTATGAAATCTAATTGGCTAAACCTTGTCTCACCGGGTCAAGTTCGGTTTCTGTGCAATCCTCAGACACTCTAGAAGGCAACCAAACTTGGTTTCATCATTCTATATTACGTATTGGCTACACAACACGTCAATTAGCCCATGAAGCCCACACGCACATTACGCACCAATAAGACAGGCGGTGTTCACTTGATTGACAGTGTCTTGGTCCAATGACCACCTATTGTTTTGAAACATAGCTAGCTAGATACCCAATGAGGAGGAGGGGCAGCCTCGGCTGATTCCGTGATAGGCTCATCCCCTGCTAAAATAAAGGTTAAATAAAATAAGTAATAGTAAACTTGAGTTCTAACTGAATTTTAAAAAATCCTCAATAGTGGTAGAGAGTCAGATGACCTCTGGGAGCAAACTCCAAAGAGACTACATTCAAGTCCTCCATCCCCCACTCATTCAAACGTAGGAACTGGTTCCTCCAGTCTGACCCCTCTGTTTTTTCTGGCTCCACACCCAACCCCGCCTGGCCATCTATAGGTGTGAAGGTTAGTACCTTTTATGTAGGGAAGCTAATGATCCATCATGTATGACATTCCTGGGAGTGTGTAAACTTTTTATTTTATTTTATTACCATAGCCATTTTCTCTATAGTTATGTACTTGAAAATGTATCAATTGACCAATTCGGCCACTTGGGTACATTTGGGCAAACCCGTGATGGGACACCTGGGAGACTTCATACAAAATATGATGTAGCGCTCTCATTCTTGAATGTATCAGTCTGAAACTTTGCACACACACTGTTGCCCTCATGCCGACAACATCTAAATGATCCACAGCTTCCTATCTCAATGTATGGCCTTTCTTTTGCATTTCAAAGATGATGCAACAAAATAAAAATAGAAAACGCATGTTTTTTTGTTTGTTTTATCTTTTACCAGATCTATTGCGTTATATTCTCCTACATTAATTTCACATCTCCACAAACTTCAAAGTGTTTCCTTTCAAATAGTATCAAGAATATGCATATCCTTGCTTCAGGTCCTGAGCTACAGGCAGTTCGATTTGGGTATGTCATTTTAGGCGGAAATTGAGATGAACGGTCCTATCCTCAAGAGGTTTTAAACGGCACCTCAAATTGAGGCCACGTCTCTGTCATAAACTCCTCATCTCTAACTGGGAGAGGCTGAGGCTCACACACCTAATTGAGAGATAACACCACAGTGAGGATCCGTCACAGGGTTAATCAAGTTGCATCTCAATGATCCATCAAATTAAGATTTCAGTCTTTCCTGTGTACGTCGATCTGGCAGGTAACACGCTCCAAAGCCGAATATTCCGCGATGAGAGTTTCTCTGGCCTTCACTACAACATTTAGCTTGATTAGGTCAAAGTGAAAATGCACGAACCCTATGAAAATGTATTTCTCATCTGAGTCTTAAAGTAAAATATTGATTCTGTTTTTTTTCAATACTCATCATAGTTTCATGAAGGGTTGTCCCATTAAATGTCCCATTAACTAATGGAAACCATGGAGATACTCAAGGTACATTAAGTTGGATTATCGCAAACACTGTTCATCATTGTAACCATTAATGTCATTGGCCTCCATTCAACATACTGTACTTTCCACGGTTTGTAGTGTAATTGCCGACCCACATTCCATGGTCGCTATGAGCAACAAATGCAGCAACCAGGACATAAAGAGAGACAACACAAATCTAAGGGTGGGGGGAGGAAAGTTGCTCGGTTGGCATTAAACAATTAATTACATTGGGGACTGCTGAGGAGCAAGAGCCAAAACAATCCCTTTTTTATGGGAGAAACTTTTAACGAAGAAAAAAGAGAGAAAAAATAAAAAAGCCTTTAACGTTCTGTGCTTTGAGGTGTTTGTTCCTTTATTTCCAGGACTTGGTATGCTGTTCAGATCATCGGCCCATAGTCTTGTCAAGGCCTCTCTCTATGGCAGGCCCTGGTACACAGTACTACCCCTCTCTCTTCACCTGAGGATGATGCAAGATGGGAAGTGTGTCAAATTGTCTTAGACGTGTCAATGTTCATATCACAATGATCCCCACAAAGTCTGTGGTGCCTCCGAGGCACCGTCTCAGCAGTAGCCTTGTAAAGTATTGGGCTACTACTGCAGTCTTATGAGTTGTCTCTGATGCACTGTTGTGCTTTATTTTTCTTAGTGTATACAGGGAAGACAGCAACGAACAGATTGTCTACTGGGCTGCTGTTGGGCATCACTCAGACTGATGGATTTAAGATGCGAGTGTTGATTGTCAGATGATCGCTCTGCTAGTTTTGTGTGGGATCATCCATCTAGAACAAAGGCAGCTGTGAGGACTAGTGCATTGCCAAGCCTGCCAATGTCAAAACCAAGGCAGTAGAATTGAGCGTGGCTGGGGTAGTGGTGTGCGATAATAATCCAAAGACATACTACAGAAATACACAGAATTAGCTCCATTGAGACAGATTTTTCAGAGGACGATTTCACAAATATTTTCTAAAGAAATTAATCGTCATTATAACTAACCCCTGATTAACTAAGAGTCTCACACACAGCTTTAAGAGGGTGCATAAATGATAAGGACTACACAGGTCAAAACGGAATGATTTGGGTTCATCTCAGGAAAAGAGCCTAAAACAGACCCCAACCAGCTAGCACATAACGTTCTGAGAACCATATGTTTCTTAGAGCTTGGTGAAAGCTTGGTGGTCCTATGGTTATTTTGCATACAACCTTCCCACAACTTTCTGGGAATGGTGCAGGATAGTTGCTTGGCTTTGGAACATTCTCAGCACATTTAAGGAACCTGACAAAAAAACGTTATTTCCTTGGTATTTCATTACTTTAACAGAATGTTTCCTAAAAGTTCAAACATGGTTACATTTAATTTCAATTTTGGTAATGTTCTAGGAACATTGTCCAACTGGTTTGACATTGGCAATGTTCTCAAATTGTTCCAAGAACGTTAAGAAACAATGTTCTTCTGTGGGAATTTCATACTTTAGCATAACGTTTCCTCATGGTTCTATTTAAAGTCATGTTCTCACATTTTGTCAGAGGGAGGGTTACGAAAACTTTGCAAAAAAACCACAAGAAAACTTTAGTAACGTTCAGTTATTTAAGAACATATACTTTCCGTTCTCAGCATCAACAAAACTCTCTCTATCCTCTATTTTCTTAAGTGTGTTCAGGTGTGTTGGCCACACCCACTAATTGGTCACACCTGATCATAATGAGTGCTTGTTTCCTTTGAAATGGGGTCTGTTTGAATAGACTAAAATGAACAGCTTTCATTTTGTAAGTGTAAAAAAAACATGGCATGCTAGCTCCATCATGGTGGCGCAGTGGACTAATTCCAATGATAGAGAACAGAAGATTATATACTGAACAAAATATAAACACAACATGTAAAGTGTTGGTCCCATGTTTCATGAGCTGAAATAAAAGACCCCAGAATTTTTACAAACACACAAAAAGCTTATTTCTCTCAAATTATGTGCACAAATTTGTTTACATCCCAGTTAGTGAACATTTCTCCTTTGCCAAGATAATCCATAACCCTGACAGGTGTGGTATATCAAGAAGCTGATTAAACAGCATGATCATTACAAAGGTGCACCTTGTGCTGGGGAAAATTAAAGGCCACTCTAAAATGTTCAGTTTTGTCACACAACACAATGCCACAGATGTCTCAAGCTTTGAGGGAGCGTGCAATTGGCATGCTGACTGCAGGAATGTCCATCAGAGCTGTTGCTAGAGAATTTAATGTTCATTTCTCTACCATAAGCCGCCTCCAACAGAGTTTTAGAGTATTTGGCAGTATGTCCAACCGGCCTCACAACCGTAGACCACGTGTAACCACACCATCCCAGGACCTCCACATCCAGCTTCTTCACCTGTGGGATCGTCTGAGACCAGCCACTTGGACAGCTGATGAAACTGAGGAGTATTTCTGTCTGTAATTAGCCCCCTTTGTGGGGAAAAATTCATTCTGATTGGCTGGGCCTGGCTCCCCAGTGGGTGGGCCTGTCTCCCAAGTGGGTGGGCCTATGCCATCCCAGGCCCAGCCATGGCTGCGCCCCTGCCCAGTCATGTGAAATCCATAGATTAGTTCC